GAAGAAAAAGCCCATTTGCCACTGGTGTAACCCTTGGATCCTTAGAGAGTTAGGCTAGAAGGGATCTCCATGGGTCATCTAATCCAACCCCCTGCCTGAGGCAGGATCATCCCTTTCCAAACCATCCTATACAAATCCCATAGTCTAACCTCTTAGAACAACTACCGTCAGCCCTGACACAACACAAGAGATAACATCTGAACCTACCACATGTAAAGTAGGAGAACCACGGCAGCCAATGGCCTGCTTCTATAAAAGTTTGTTAAATACATTCAAGAGATCCCAGGTCTCTGCCATGCCTCCTGCTAAAGAGGAAGGCAATCCCCTCTCCCCCGGACCCCGCAGTCAATACCAGTTTGACTAGAAAGTAAAATTCCTTCCTGACCATAAATTGGCAATCAGTCTGACCCTGAACAGAGGGGCAAGATCCTCTAGCCAGAAACGTCCAACTGTAAGTCCCAGCAGAAGTGCTGGCACGCCCCAGTTGAAATCCCCTGCCTTGGCTAAAGCCAAAATCCAGTGCCTCTGAGGAAGGCTTAAAAGAAATAAATGCGCAATCATTTACACCAGCACAGAGTGTAGCAGACTGCCCTTCTAATCAGGCTGTGTTTTCTCCTTAGCTGGAGAGGTGGCTGCTTTTAATGGGGTTTCATATTTTCCCCTGTACTGGTACTATAAAATAACTGCCCTGTGAGTCCACAGCCCTGCTTGTAACCTGGAACAGTAATGGAGGAGGGGACAGTTTGTGTGCAGAATTGCAGACTGGTCTTCTCCTGTTAGTATCTCACCCAGGTTTCCTTTTGTTTCCCAGAGCCGTGAAGTTCTCTGCCAAGCTGATGGGCCAGGCAATGGCCAAAAGGGTCAAAGCAACCATCTTGTATGCTACAGAAACAGGGAAATCGCAGGTCTATGCAAAAACCTTATGTGAAATCTTCAAGCATGCTTTTGATGCCAAGGTAGGGCACCAGTTCTCAGCCTACAAGCACAGGCATAACTAGCAGGGTTTGTGCGCTGAGCAAATCTTGCTGGAGACTGGGGGCAGAAGGGTGAAGAGGGGGGTGGGCAGGCTCCAGGGACTGCTCTGGGAATCTTGTCCACTGCTGTGCATGGTCTGCCCACCCCAGTTATTGCTGGTACAGCAGCAGTGCAAAGCCTACGTGTCTTGCTGCCTGCTGCAACAGCAGCAGCATGGGGCTGCTGCTGCTGTGGCATGGACTCTCCATTTTGGTACCCCCATTAAATTGGTGCCTGGGACTGGTGCTCTGCTCACTAGCCCCACATTATGCTGCTGCCCACATGGGATGTGCATATAACTGTGTGGCTTATAGAGGAACCAATGCAACAAGTTGTTGGACACTCTTGGTCCCATCGACTTTCTCAGCAGTTGAAGGTCTCAGTACTTCACAGGATGCATCTTAGTAGTTGTTAAGAAAAGACCTGCATGGGAACACAGCTGCCTTCCAAGTTGCACTTTTGAAGAGGAATTTTGGCCCCGTTTTGCCTAATGTCACCCATTTCACTCCATTAATTTTTTAGGGTGTCACAGACAGCAGATCTTTTGCTTGTTCCATTAAGGCTTGTGTCCTTGTGCCTGGAGTATCAATAAACTTGACTGCAATCCCCATTTTCTGCATAACTACTGAATTTAGTGAAGAGATTTGGATTACTAGATGTAAAAGCTCAGTTGGACCAAATGGCAGTGAGTCTCCCCACATCAGGGTCTACTTACAAGCATGTCTCTCTTTCTCAGGTGATGTCCATGGATGAGTATGACATAGTCCACCTGGAGCATGAAACCCTTGTCCTGGTGGTCACCAGTACATTCGGCAATGGAGACCCACCCGAGAATGGGGAGGTAGGATAGGCCACTGGGTTTATTACAGTGGTCACCAACCACTGGATCTTGATCCACCGGTAGATCTTGGAGCTTCTTGGAGTCAATCCAAGGCTGGGGTGGAGGGCTGAGAGCCTGCATGGCACACGCGTGCCCCCACCCAGCAGGTCAGTCCATGGGGGAGGGAAGGGACGGGGGCTAGATTGAGGCCCCTGCGGTGAGGGACAGTGCCGCAGAGGCAGGAGCAGGTGTAAGTTGAGTGGGGCCCTGGTCAGGTGGGACTTGCCTGCTGGGGAGGTGCACCCCCAAATAATTTTTTCTCCCTCTGCCTCAATCTGCCTCCTCCTTGCCTCCCCACAGATTTACCTGCTGGGCTTAAAAAGGTTGGAGACCACTGGTTAATTAGATGCCTGAGTGTAATGCACAAGGTAATCATGGTGAAAAGCAGAAAGCAGCACCCACTTCTAAACCCAGCCATTTCACTCTCCAGTTATGGAGATAAAGTAGGGTCCAGTGGTCAAATAATCTGTGTGAGCACCATGATGCCTGAATTTTAGTGCCATATCTTCCTCAGACATGCTGTGAGATACTAAATTGCCTTCATTTCCCTGTCTGTCAAAAGAGATAGCTGTCCTCTGGGGTGGCTGTGAGGTGATATATTAATCTATTTACTGAACTCTACCAATATATTTGGTCCTGTATTGGCCATCCAAGGAGCTCACAAACCAGTGCAGCCAAAGAGAAGAACTTGGTTCCCCTGCTCAGGGCAGTGGAACAACCCTGCAGTCACTGGGGAAAGCCTGTGGGGACATTGGGCACAGGTTAGAGCAGCCATGCAGACATGTCATTGTGTTTTGTTTCCTAGATAACAGCATGCAGAACTGATACAACAACTATGCTTTTTACCTCTAGAAATTTGGCTGTGCACTGATGGAAATGAGGAACCCCAACTCCAACCTGGAAGAGAGGAAGTAAGAACCTCAGACAAGAGTCCCACATCGCACCCCCAGCAGCTGGAATGGCCCTTCCCTGGGTTGTCCAGGGACCACATCCTCACTTTGGTTTACTAGCCTCAAAAGATAGGCTGAAAGTTCATTGCCAGGAATGGACTCACTTGACTTCAGGCTGGTAGTACAATGTACCAGGTAGCACTAGCTCCCTCTCACCTTCCCCCAACAGGCTGAGATAACAAGTAAAACTGACTTCTCTGTCTCTGTCTCTCTCACTGTTAATGGTGAAGGCATTTATATAAGCAGTGATGCCCCCAACACTGCCGCCTCCAATATTAAAAAATTATGAATAATTCCTTAAATAAATAGATGTGGGGGTTATTCTTGTTTACTTCCTATGTTTTAAATTTTAGAATTAATTCTTACGCTTTTCTTTGTGACTGTGAGGGTTAGAAATGTATTAAAACAGAAAAAATGCAATGTTCATAAAATCTTATGGCTCCGAGAATGGGGGCTACACCCATTGTAGTGAGATGTGCAACTAAACAGTGAGAGTTAGCAGTGCTGTGGCTGTAAGTACGCTAAAAGTTATGGAGATACTATGGGGTTTGGACTCAGTTTATTGCATGGCTGTGCAAAAATCAGTAGTGTAACTAGGGCATGGTGACCAGGGCAGCTGCAGAGATGGAAAAAATGGCTGCACAATCAGGCCAGTGGCAGCAGTAGCAGCAACCAGAAGTCATGCCTTCCCTTGTGTGTGGCAGCTGCCCCAGGCACCCAGCTGCATTGTTATGCCTCTGGCAAAAATACTTCTAGGGACTGTAACTGCTGTGGTAAAGTTACAGCCAGCCAAGAAGCTGTGACCTGTAAGCAAGTGGAACCTGGTGGCTAGAGCAGGGGACTGGAGGTCAGGGTTCCTGGGCTCTGCCATTGACTCTGCTATTGAAGTAAGTTGAGACTTGGGCAAGTTACTTAACCTCTCCAAGAGATTTGTCAAGTGCATTGTGGCATGAGGTATTACTAAAGAATGGCAAAGTGTTAATCATTTATGGCCTTTATAGCTTATTATTATTTTAGCTATTAAGTAAAGCAGTTCTACTTAATTGGGACATTAGCTGCACTCTGAAGTCTCTTGAGTTAACATAATGATAATGGCAAGTGGTAATGGCTGTTCCTTAATCAGGATAGAATTAGCACTTGGCCAGTGATAAAGTGGTATTTAATCAGATGTTAAAGAGGTAGAAAGTCTTAGATCTGGCCTTTCCCACACAAGGTAAGGAATGATGTCCAGTAAGACTGAAGTGTTGTGATTAACATTTCCCTTCAGTGTGGTACTGCTAATTCCTTGCATGCTGATTGTATTGTTGTTATTAGTTAGGCAGCAGCCCCAAAGTGACCTACGTGCTGTGCAGATAAGTAATATGACTGGTCACCCCAGGGCTTGCAATCTGAATACCCATTATGTTCTTAATGGCCTCTTTTCTTAATGGGGACAGCTGATGAAACAGGACAATAGGCCACCCACAGGGAGGAATCTGAAAAGCATTACAGTGTTGTTTATATGGCCCTCCCCCTGGTCATCTGTCACATCCCTGCTGTGCCAAGGAGTGTCCAGAAATGAACTTGTAGTTGAGTTGACTCTTCCGTGGGTAGGGTGAGTACTTTCAATCATGAACATCTTGAACATCATGAACATCTGAGCTCAGCACCAACAACTACCAGTCACTTCTGAGTGTAATCAAAGATGCTAGCTGCAATCTTTAAGGGCCTGACTAACCAGGATGTGGTATCTGACAGTGCCCCTCTGCTCCATGGCCTGCTATGAGCTTTGCATTTAGCAGAGACTTGTCTGGTCCTGGTGGCAGCACCTTTTTGGGACAGGACACTCCTTGCCACGCTACATTGTCTTTTCTGCTGTAACCCAGGTAACATAAAACTCACTTGTGTTCTTGCTAGGTTTTAGACTTGACTGTCTAATGCTAGACGCTAAAGATGGGGTTTTCCACGGTGGTCTCAGGGATTAGGTAATCAGATTTAAGTGAAAGGAATAAAGTTAAAATGCCTACTGTGGCAGTCATCTTTGATAAACCTACCAACATTCACAAGCAACCTGTTTTTTCAAAGATCTTGACAGCTCCCAACTTCCCCAGAATATATTCATTTCACCAGGAACTTCAAGAGCTCTCAGCACCTCTGAAAACCAAGTCCCTTGCCTAGCTGCCTAAATACTTAGGCTCTGAAATGTAGGTTGCAAAAGTTTTACTGCAATAGTTAAGAATTAGGTGGGCACCCTTCAAACAGAGAACACTAGCTACGAAGGGAGAAAAGTGTTTTGGCCAGGGTAATTTTTAGGAGGTTGCTGTGTATCTGTATGCATATACTACAACAATGGTGATTTTAAAACTATCCCAAAGGCTACACCTTGGAGTAGTGAGACAGCAGAGTTGAAGATTTCCCTATAGTATTTTTGGTCAGAGAATTGAGGCAAATACCTCTTAGAATAAGGTTAATGTTTTCAAAAAGCACCTCAGCCCTACTTAGAAAAGTGACTTAGACCCATAAAGATGCAGACAGACACAGAGTGGGATTTTCCAAACAGCTAATTGGATTAAGGGGGACTAGGGTGGAAGACAGGGCAGAGGCAAGTAAAAGAACGTGGCAAAGGGGAAGGAGTTAAGAGGAGAGGCTTGTGGTAACTAGGAGCAGTGAAGAACAGAGAAGGGAAAACCAGGCACCACCATGGTCCTGACAGCTACTTCGCACACAGGCTTCCCTTCCCTTATGTAATACTAGCTGCGGCTGGGCTGGTGACTCATTCAGACACCACTCCTTTATTACCGTCACCGTATATATAGAAACTCTTGTGTAGGGCAATTTCTGAAGAAGGTTCAATTCAGAAACAATCTTGCTGATGTCAGCTTCCCCTCCCTCCCCCCACCCCGCTTCCCATGTTTCTAATATGAGTCTTATAACTAAATGGGATCTTTTCTTCCTGATGGGAAATGAAATTTCTCTAAAAGCCCTGTTCAGCCCTGAACAAGTCATGGAAGACAGGAAATCTTGAAAGCCAGGTGGCTTAAAGCCCCTGCGTACTGCCCTTCTCTGTCATGGCCTACGCTCAGGGCTTTGCCTCCCCCTCCCCACAGCTAATGCTATTGTGAAGTTCACCATCATGGCTGATACGTGGGGAACTGAACTGGCAATGTCCAGAGCTGAACATAGGAGTCCAGGCAGCTTGAGCTAGCATAGGTGGCTGAGGGCTTTAAAAGCCTCATGTCTTCTGTGTATAGGGCAGAGCAGGGGAAATATAGCACGTACTTACTGGAGGGTCATAACTGCTTCAGAGAAGGGAGTGCACACCTGCTCTGTGCTTGGCATTAGTAGCATCCCCTGGAGAAGCATGAACTCAGGCCTTGTTCAGTGTGTTCTGTAGCCCAGTTCCCAGCTCCTGTCTACCCATCCAACTTCTGGAGTTGTGGCCCATGCTACTACTCTAATGCTCATGGTTACTCTTCACAGGAGCTACAAGGTCCGTTTTAACAGTGTCTCATCTTCCTCGGATGTGCGGAAATCTTCAAGTGATGGGCCTGATGCCAGGGACAACTTTGAGAGCACAGGGCCTCTGGCTAATGTCAGGTGAGCAGGATGGAGAGGGAGGGAGGCACCGGTGTCCTGCCCCTCCAAACGATGGAGTTCAGCCTGACTGTAAAAATCAGCATTTCCTGCCATCTCTGCCAGGGACGGAGATGAGGGACATGACAAGTAGCTGCTGCTAAGGGCCACTCACCCTAGCAAAAGTTGCCCCTCAGAGATAAAGCCAATATTTATTGTTTAGGTAACCACAGACTCACTGGCCTAACCTGGCTCAGAGTCTTTATTATGTTTACTGGCTTGTCCTGACTCACCTGGTCAGTACTTTGTCACTTCCTAGACCTTTAGGAGAATAGCTATACGTCATTGCACAAGAGTCCCTGTGGCTTTTTACTGTCTCCCAGGCTTGTCAGCCCTACTTCAGATATCTGCATCCCTTACTGGCCTGGCTTCTTGCTGACCGTTTTTCACCACTCTCCATGAGGGCCAACCCACCTGTGTCACCACTAGCTTCCCACAGCATGGCTATGGCCCTGTAGCATAGAGATGGCCCATGCAGCCCAGAGCCACTGAGGTAATTTGGGCTCTGAAAGGGCTTCAGTTGAGGGGATGCTGAGTTCCAGCGACGTAGTTTGGGGAATGCTTAGAAAACCGTTGCCTAATTGCAGTGCTTCTTTTCCACTACTGGACCCCAGGCTGGGAAGTGATCATTCCTGATGGCTATGCAGGCACAAGTCTTGTCTCTCCAGACAAGACTCTGGTCCTCTGCTTTCTTGCCCTGCTTCAGCCTCTTGTAGCCATGGCTCTCATCTGTGTGCAGATTCTCTGTGTTTGGCCTGGGGTCGCGGGCCTACCCCCACTTCTGCGCCTTCGCTCGTGCTGTGGACACCCTTTTGGAGGAGCTAGGAGGGGAGCGGATCCTCCGGATGGGAGAGGGGGATGAGCTTTGTGGCCAGGAGGAGTCTTTCAGGACCTGGGCCAAAAAGGTCTTCAAGGTAGTCTGCTTCCTTTGTCCCTTGGGCAGCTTAGAGGAGGGTGGGACAAGAATATTGGAAGTTTATGAGTCTTTGCTTATGTAAATCTACTGTTTAGGTCTGGACCTTAATGATGCCCAAGCACCCACAGGACCCAGGCTGTTAGGCAGGGTTGAAGTCCACATCTTCACCCTATCTCTGCACTTGGCAACAAACTCATAGCACAGCCAAGGATTGGAGGCCAGCCTCCAGCAGGTCTTCAGCTCCTGTTAGTCAAAAATCTGCTGGAGGACCAAGCAAGGGGCTGTGATATAGCTGGCCTAATTCAGGTGGCTTAGGATCAGCCCAGCAGGAAGGAGCAGCCCATCAAGAAACGTAGAGCACAGTTTGGCATAATCAAAGCCTTCTTGGAGGGCTGGCTTGTCTTTACAACTGGCCTTGAAGTGCATTCTAGGAGAAGATGGGCTGTAGCATTGGATTTGGATCTCATATAGCCTGATATTTGGGACATTTGGATCCTGGGTTTTAGTGTAGCTAACTTGGAAATATATAAGAGCCATTTGCCAATATGTAGATGGAACCAGTATTGTCAACCTCCATCATTCAAAAGTCACAAATTGGACCAAAGTGTATTGGAGACCAGACAAAAGAGAAGAGTCTATGTTGAGTCTGTTTGCTTGCCTTCTAGTTCTGGTTATATTCATATTTTCAAGCTTTTTCTGCATCACAAAGGCTAGAAACTGAGGAACTTGGCTTTTAAGAAAAACATCAGCTATCTGTGGACTTGTAATGAAACCCTGAGAAATGGCAATGCTGTGGGCCTGGGCTTGGAATATAGACGCTTTGAAAAACTGGGATGATTAGAACCAAGGTTTAGCTTGCTGGTGATGACAAGAAAGGACCATTTAGGATCTCTTAAATTTAGGGCATGCTAGGCCCTAGAAGTAATCGGATCCAAGGATCTGGCTTGGCCTCTTCTGTATCGTGGTGAGGGGGCATTTTAGGGTATGTTCCCTACTGATGTGCATCAGCAATAATACTAATGGTAGATGTGTCCATGCAGCAAGGAGAGAATAGACTCATGGGATGTGCCTCCCTACCTTGTGCCTGGTTCTGAGCATCACTGTCCTATCCTCCTTTCCATGTAAACATGAGTGGGAGGGACATTAACTAAAAATGGGTGATAGCACATGCTAGGATTAGGCTGAGAAACTGAGTGGGTCTTTCCTGGAAGTCAGACTGAGTTGAGAAGGTCCCTGAAAGCTTTGCGTGTGTTGCAGGCAGCGTGTGATGTGTTCTGTGTGGGAGACGACGTGAACATTGAGAAGGCCAACAACTCCCTTATCAGCAATGACCGCAGCTGGAAGAGGAGCAAGTTCCGTCTGACCTACGTGGCTGAGGCCCCTGAGCTCACACAAGGTACAGATGCTTCATCACCTGGTCACTGGGGCTTTGAATATGGGGTGGCATCTGAGAAAGATGGAAAACTCCTGGGGACAGTGACAAGCTTCTATGGATCCAGACTGAAGGTTATTCTGGACAAATTCTGTGCCTTATGGGTGTTTAATTCTCTCATCTGTATCTTGCTCTCCCTCTGACTCATCCTTTTTCTTTCCCCATCTCCCAACTCCTTCCATTCTTTTCCTCATGTTGTCTCACATCTGGTCCTTCCTTCCTGCTACCTTTTCCCCCATTTTCTTGACATGTGGTCAAACCCCAACCAAACCCCAAACCCTTCTTAATCACCCTGGCTTCTGCTCAACTCCAAAGAGCCCCAACCTGGACCCCAGTGGCCAGGGAGGACAGCTCCATAAAGTTGCATCTAATTTTGTCTCTTTCTTTCCCTTTCAATCTCATTGTTCAACCTGAGGCACTATCAGGGACAACCACAGGACTTTCAGGCTAGTGACAGGCCAGTGATTGTGTCTGGGAAACAACTTATGAGGACAGGTCTGCATCTGAGCTTCTTTATCCTGACCCCATTCTCTAAAGCAGGTGTGGTCATTGCTGAGAGCAAGTGGACTAAGGGAATCCAGGACTGCTCTGTCTTGTCTGTTAAAATCCCTGCTTCCTGTGGCTTTGAAATAGTAGGACTGACCCACTAAAATGTAGTTCTACTAGCTCATATATGTTGTACTGACTTGGCTCTTCCTAAATTCAGATGCTTAGCTGCCAGCTATTCCACACCAGTGGTAAAAGAAGGGTGACAGGGATGTGCCTGTGTGTATGAACAAGCACATGTCCTGTGATGGTGAGGGCCATCTCTAAATAATCCTGTTTACCAACCTGTTAATAGATGGGAAGCACAGCCAGTGTTTGGATCTTTCCTCTCTTTGTTGCTTTCACAACAGTCTTGAGAGCGGCACCAAGAAGCATGTCCCACTCCCCCGCTCCCACTCTGTACACACCACACCTGGAGGTGTGGCAGTGAAGCCTCCATTACTTCTCGCAAGTATGCCAGAGGCAGAGAGCTCAAGAGGGGTGGGCTGGGGCCTTCCTGGGATGGTTTCATGACCTGATTTCCCAGGTGTAGCACACATGGATTGCAAGCCCTAAATCCCTTGGTGCATGTCTACACAGATTCCTGAGTGAAACCAAGTACATCTCCAAGAAACCAGGCCTGCTCACTCATACCCACCTGAGTTCATATTTGCCAAGTAGATGACCCAATGCAACCCCAAGCATGTGCCCTAGCACCATGTTGAGGCTCTCCTGAGTTAAAGCACCAAAGTATAGTGCTGGGCATGCACTCATGGCTGTGCCAAACAACATGTGCAGGCAGTTTGCAAACCTGAATGGGTGGGGCTTATTTCTTGTAGGCTAAGTCTAGATAGCTATGGACTCCCCCTCGGAGGACATGCCAACAACCTCCACTCCTGGTTCTGAGGTGCTAAATAAACACTGTGGTGGTGGGCAAAACACCCTGGAGACACTGAAACAGCTGTCCTCCCATGCTCGGCTTTTTTTCTTTTATTGCATCTTCTTTTCCACAGGTCTGTACAGTATTCATAAAAAGCGAGTCTATGCAGCCCGGCTTCTAACTCGCCAGAATCTGCAGAGTCCCAAATCCAGGTAGGAGCTGTAGTCTTCCCTCAGCATGCAGGAGATAAAACATCAGTACCTCACTCACATGCATATATGCCACATCCAGGGTACACTTATGCACACACGTACTGTTATCTACAGCATTCCAGTATCAAACCACCAAGTTGGGCCCAAAGTGTGACCTTGGTTAAAAACTATTCTAGTATGGTGGAGCATGCTTATTAATGCCAGTCCTCCACATTTACACTAGCTAACCCTCCTGCCCATAAAGAGCACCTCAATTTTTCCAAAGAGAGGGAAAAATTTTCAGGGCAAGAGATGAAGCTGACAAAGATTCCTATGCTAAGATTGCTAACAGTGAAAGTTAACAGCAACTGAAAACTCTGCAGGTAGCTTGGTGGAGGGGAGGGAAAGGAAGAGGACACATGACTGATATCTTTTTTTCAAGCTCTAGTTCAGTTCTTTTTTTTCAGTTTTATTAGTTCAGCTCTATGGTTATGTGTACAGACAGGCACCAGACTGCTTACCTGTGGAACTTGACCCACTTGCTTGCTGACTTAGAAAAAAATGCTAAAGAAATGGTTCTGTGGCAGTCTTCTAGTTCAGCTCTTGGAGCTGTAGAGAAGACCTGCTAGACTGAGCCTAGTCATTTTCCAAAGGGATGTTGTTTGTGTTCTTTCTGTAGTCGGTCAACAATTTTCCTGAGACTTCACACCAACGGACACCAGGAATTGCAGTACCTCCCTGGAGACCACCTGGGAGTATTTCCAGGCAACCATGAGGACTTGGTCAATGTCCTGATTGAAAGACTAGAGGATGCACCCCCAACCAACCAACTGGTGAAAGTGGAGCTCTTGGAGGAGAGGAGCACAGCTCTAGGTAACAAGGGTCAGAAGGAGGGACTAGCTGCAGCCAGGATGTCTTCCACACAAATGCTTTTGTCAGTCCTTGGACCTATTCATCCGTTTCACTGGTGTGCTCTCATAAGCACTGCAGGGCCAGTAGCAGTAGTTGTAGATTTCTGTCCATGAAAGACTGGGTTTCCATTGGGCAGATCCATAATCAGCCTGTTCTCTGGGAGTGTGGAGCAATCAAAGCAATGGTTTCATGGGCTAGTAGGTTCTTTGCGGGATGGGGTTTTTGTTCCTCGTGTCAACTGGCAATGACTGACTGTACATGCCTAACCGCTGAGTTTTGGAAATAGGCTCGGTACCCCCATTGCCTTGCAATATGTATGAGCATCAGCCTGTGCAAAACAGATAGAAAGCACGTTCTGTTCTAGAAGGTCCCAAGTCAGCAGCTAATGGAGCCTAAGATACTGTATTCTTTGTGTGCCCTATTGTACAAAGAGGGTAATTTAGCGTCATGTCAGAGTCTTCTGTCCAGTTTTTCCTCATTCACTGTGTAATGTCTCCACACAGTTTGCATCTCAGTGACTTGCCCAAAGTGGGCTGTTAGGTTCAGCTGATCACAGGGTTGTACACAATTCTCTCCTGGCAGGTGTCATCAGTAACTGGACAGACGAGAACCGCATCCCTCCATGCACCATCTTCCATGCGTTTAAGTACTATCTGGACATTACCACACCTCCCACACCCCTGCTGCTGCAACAGTTTGCCTTACTGGCCACCAGTGACAGAGAGAAGAAATGTCTGCAGGTCCTCAGCAAGGTAAATCCTTAGATCCTTTTGGCAACTGTGTCATAGCATGTGAGAGTTACATATCCCTCATGGCCACTTTTTCTGTGATGCAGAAAAGCAGGCAGTGAGACTCGTCCTCTAACGTGCATTCCACCCACGCATCCACCTTCTGTGAATCCCTTGGAATGTGTCTGACTGAGAGGCAACTTATATGGTAGCTGATGCTGATGACTTGCCTCTTCACGTGCTAGACCACTGTTCCTCAGAAGCAACTTACTGTGGTCCTGCGGCCTGTGGAGATGATGCATCCCTTGAGATTCATTCTTCAGCTTTGATCAAAATAGCCTTTCCTACTGGCTCTTTTCCCTGGACCATTTACCTCAATTGGCTCAGTACTTCAGCTGATACAATGTAAAATAGTGTCCCTGCACTGATATAACCCCCCTCCATGTGCTTTCTGGCTAAATGATTTAACTTCATATCTTTCTGGTTTGCAGATGAGGACTCTGTTAGTAAGTGACTTGCCTATGTTCATGGAAAGATGATGCGGCAGAGTTGGGGACTGAATCCAGGTTTCCTAGCTGTAGGTCCCCTGTTCTAATATCCATCACTTCCTTGCTTGGTGAATAGCATGGACATTTTAATCCAGTTCAGGGGACCCATGCTTGGGTGCTCCACTAGTGCTGTGTTTGTGGAGGAGAGGCTTCCAGTTTGAGGTGTTCTGCCAAAGCTTCCTTTCTCCTGCCCTGGCCATGCCAAGGGATTCCTACAGGGATTGTACAGTTCTGGTTCAAGGCATCTGATTTAGACTAAGCAGATAATATAGCTCATTTTTCCTTTGCCTCTCTCGGTACAGGGTTTGCAGGAATATGAGGAATGGAAGTGGTCCAAAAACCCCACTATAGTAGAGGTGCTGGAGGAGTTCCCATCCGTGCAGATGCCCTCCACCTTGCTGCTCACCCAGCTCCCCCTGCTGCAGCCTCGCTATTACTCGATCAGCTCCTCCCCTGACATGTACCCAGACGAGGTTCACCTCACTGTGGCTGTGGTCTCATACCGCACTAGAGGTAACGATATACCAGTAATACAGCAGGCTCTGCATGACAGTGACAAGCCAGCACTCATGTGACCATAAGGCTCTACACAGACCTGTGCCATCCTAAGATAGGGCTGTCCTGGTTGCTTGCATTGTAAGCGGAGGAGAATGGGAGCAGGGTGAGGAGCATTAACTGGGAGGAAGGGGGGTGTTACCTGGTTCTGCGACTTGTTCTAGCTAGGCTCCCTCTTAGAGGTAGGGAAGGGAAGTGGGACTGTCAGAGGCAGGAACCTAAGGACTGTTTGTCTGCTACATGCTGGCGAGTGGTGGGGAGAAGAGACCTCAGCTCTGCCATTGCCACCCCAAGAATGAACTGTCCAGAGCCCCTCAGACAATCCTGTTCCTCTCCTGAATCACAGCCTTAAACTTGAACTGTTGAACTGTTCAGGAAGATGCAAGAAATGTTGAATATCTAGGTTCGACGTGGCACCGCTGAGGGCTGATGGCAGCTCATGTAACAGAATGGAGCCCAACTGCTGCATTCTTAAAACATATGTGTGGTTAAAGCCCTGGCTAAGAGCGATGCATGGTCTATAAACTGAAAGAAGCCTGTAGATGGAGTTGGTAAGTAGGTGCTTGCCCAGTTCAAGATAACTCTGAAAGGTCTGTGTTGGCCTTGAGCAGGAAATGTGGCTATGGTGCTAATCATGGTTGTGTAAGCACTGAAACCAGTCACACACTGGCCTGCTCCTTCAGAAAGGATGCCTTGTTTCTTGCCTGGAAAGAAGACTCGGCACTTTCTGACTGACCTAGTGGTCCAGCCCTTCCCAACAAGAGCACCTTGACGAGCAGGACCTTGGGAATGCCTAATAACTGTCTATGCCGTGGCAGTAGCAGGTTCTGGTACTAGACAAGGCTGAGCATGCGTCACCCACTCATGTTGGGGGTGAATCTGAAGCAACCTGATGGTGAACTTCTGGGTTTGGAATATGGTTTCAGTTTGCTCTGGGACCCACAACTGTGGTTCAGGCAAGACCTTAGTGACCAACCTTTCTGCATGTGAGTCACAGATTGGACTATGCAGGTAATGGTGTAGTAGTGAACACATGGGTGAATAGCTGGGTGCAGGTCGATGAATGACTGAAACACTGTGCAGAGATCCATTTGGTGGTGGTAAGGGCAGAGAGCAAACTGTCTTCTTTTGTCTTCTAGATGGGGAAGGACCAATACACCATGGGGTCTGTTCCTCTTGGTTCAACCGGATACAGCCTGATGAGGTTGTGCCCTGTTTTGTAAGAGGGTGAGTGGCATGTGCCCTGCATGTAAAGTCCTGGAGAGACAGGAAGGGCTTGGAAGGGAGTGGGCTGCATGGAGACACCAAGAGCCATGCCAAGAAAGAACCATCTGCAAGCTCCTCACAGTCAAGAGAGTGTGAACTCCTGTTTGTGTAGTGCTTCATATGTTTACAGCACTGAAGGGGTTATGCTTTGGAATAGCTGGCATCCCTTTCCATCGAACAGTTTGCCACATCAAAATATAGAATGTGGACTAAGATACAGGGTGCCCCAGTGCCTCTGCATAGCCAGGATGTGTTTGGAAGAGCCTGGGCTATGACCGAGCATCCTTACCATGCACTGTGTTTGTTCTGTACTAAGATGCTACTCTCTGGAGCCTGGCAGCACCTGCTTTGCTGTGCTACATTTCTACCTGATTTGGCTCTGCTAAGACTTTATTGACCCAGCTTTGGTTTTGCACCCTTAAGCCTTCACTGACTTTATCCATTGTTTGTCCAGAGCTCCAGGATTCCATTTGCCACAAAATCCCCAAGTCCCCTGCATCCTGATTGGCCCCGGTACTGGAATTGCCCCTTTCCGGAGTTTCTGGCAGCAGCGGCTCTTTGAAATCCAACACAAAGGTGGGCCTGTATTTCTGTTCCCCTTGCAAATAACTGGGTGTGAAAGGGAGGCAACAGGAGTCTACCCCTACCCAAGGGTGATATGAGTGGGTATATGTGGCGGCGGCACTGACAGGGGGAGTGCAGGTATGTAAGTTTAGTGCGAGAGGTGCTGGGCATAATCCCAGCTGATCGCTGTGAAGTGTGCATGCATAAATCCCTGACTGCATTCTGTTGGCTTTCAGCAAGTGATGAGGTAAGTGCTATGCTCAGAACTGGTTGGAAACTTTCCTGTGTGCTTGTTGGAAAATGTTTTTTTTTACATGAAAAACTTGTGTGGAAATGTTTTTAATGCAATTTTATTCAAAGTTTTCCAGACCTAGAAGGAAAGCAAAAAATTCTGGCAAATGTTACTTTTAGGGGAAAAGTATCATTCTTTCCCCATGGAAATTTTGGGGAAACGTTGATATTTTTTTCAGCTAGCTCTAATTACTTGAGACCTTCGGTCCACGTTTATGGGTTAGAATGGCACATGACCTCATTCTCCCTCATTTCCCCCACTCTGTGCTCTGTGACCTTTGACCTTTACCCCTTGATGTCCCAGGCAACAAAGCTACCAGAAATGTAGCCAAGGTATTCCCTGTCAGGATGCATCTCATGTCTGATTTCAGGCAAAGATGGAACCTCAGTTAAAGAGGCAGTGTGTCTGCTGCATGCAGATGGGTATGTATGAGCCTGGACAGCTGGTGATTTCCAGTTTCTCATTTCTGCCCTGTTTTTTTCCTCCAGATCTGAAGCCTTGTCCTATGATTTTGGTTTTTGGGTGCCGACAGTCCAAAATTGACCACATTTACAGGGAGGAGACCCTCCTAGCCAAAAACAAAGGTGTCTTCAAAGAGCTGTACACAGCCTATTCCCGTGAACCAGACAAACCAAAGGTAATGCCTGGATGGCACACTTTCCTCTTGCCTGTGCCCAGCCCCATGTTGCCTTGATCAGTCTAGAACACGTGGTGAGAGGAGCCCCACCCTGGTAGCTTTTGATTCTCCCAGAGTGTGGGAAATGCCTGGCCAGCAGTAGCATCACCTGGAGGGATTTTCCTGCCCTACTGAGATTTTGGTTCAAGATTTTAACCCCTGATGAGACGTACAGTAGTTTGGAATCCCCCATTCAGATACTACCCAGGGAGCATTGCTTTCTTGAAGAAAACACCAAAGCACAATAGCTAACTGGTGGGTCTCCAGACCTTTAAAACTTTAATCACTTCCTTTCTTTCTGCCTTTTCAGTGAGTTTTGAAGGCAAGGCTTTGAGCACTTGTAGGCACTAACAGTTACCAGGCACTTTTCCCAAGCTGTATGCTAAGCAGGCTGCCCTGGCTAAGTCTCCTCTTGCCTCTCAGTTCCTTGTGCCATTTCCATAGTGCGCTCCATGGCTCTGACTCTAGAGCTCCTGGGGTCCCACTGGCTGCTGCAAGAGCTAGTGGTGCTCAGCTCTTCTGAATAACCAAGTCCTGATTGTCTTCAGTTTCCATCCTCCTTGTTACATAGCTGCTGTGTTCCACCTTAGAGGTGGCTGAAACTGCACTGAGAGATGGATAGGTAGAGTGAGTCCTGTGGATAAAGCTGAGTTGTTGAGCATTTTGGAAGCTGCAGATAAGAGATGCCATTTAACCTCAGCTGTGGGCTCTTCCCAGAAATACGTGCAAGACGTACTACAGGAGCAGCTGGCCCAGGCTGTGTACAAAGCACTGAAGGAGCAGGGAGGTCACATCTACGTGTGTGGCGATGTCACCATGGCTGGAGACGTCCTCAAGACCATCCAGTGTATTATGAGGCAGCAGGGCCAACTGTCAGTGGAGGAAGCTGGTGTTTTCATTAGCAGGCTGCGGGTGAGTAACACTGCCTTGGTGGGCTGGCTGAAAGGAGGGGAGGGAAGGTTGGTGCCAAGGGCACTGCACCTGGTGCGTCCTTTAGCACAGTCAATCATGATGGGGACACTGCAGCTACAGGATCTGGAAACAGGCAGCAGGCACATCTCCCTCACTTCTTGCACTGACTACACCCCTTCAAGGTGAGGGATGTATTGTTTAACTGTCTCTGGCCAAAGCAGCTGGCTGATGAGCTCCGCAATGGAGGGGTAGGTTAAGACTGCCGTACTCTCTTCCTCTAGTCACCTTAGGCTGTGCCACCTAGACCAGAACTCTGAAGCAAACAAGCTCAGGAGCAGGAGACCATGGGCTTGGTATGAGAGAGGATCATATTGATGGAGTATATTTGAGGCACAGTCTCTGCAAAAGACTGATCTTTGGAAGAATTTTTGATCCATCTGGCCTTTGTACAACATATAAATAATATATAATTAGACATAAATTTTCAAAGCTCAGTCTTTCAGGAGGTTTGTTTAGTTTTTTTTATACTGTGTTTTATCTTTTATAGAGCTTCCTTTTTCTAAACTATTTATTTTGTAGACTTTCTACAAAACAGGGATTTATTTTCATTTCTTGACAATGTGTTTGGTGTTGCTTGATTTATTTTTCCTTTTTCTTTTCCTTCTCTTCTCTTCTCTCTGTTTGTGAGGTGGAAGATCTTGAAGACAAACTTTATTTTTCTGGAGAATGCCTTTTAGAATTTTTACTAAGGAGGATTAAAGAGTGTCTGTTATATTTTGAATAGTTTCAAACACTTGGGAGTTTAAAATTAAGGCGTCTCTCCAGCAGCAGTTTTAGCAATGGATTTATTTTATTCTTAGCATTGAAGGGTTTTTTTGTTGCTGTTGTTAAAGTGTTAGTTCACCATCCCGTGTGTTAATTTTTTTCAGGTTGGGTTATTTAGGCTTCAGCTGTGGTGGAGGTATAGACAACAGCATTTTAAGCTGTCTTCTCATGAGCAGTTCAGTTGGAGAGGGTTCCAGTGCAAGCATTACTTTACCTTTTAGCTGGGGTAGAGAGTGATATTAATGATCAGTGCAACAACTTCAGTCATACATCGAAAGCTTTGTTGGGACATACTTAAGCAGTAACTTATTTACAACAATAATTATAGGCTCACATAGCCTTGGAGTTGAGAGAAGTCAGGTCAGCTGGCCAGGCGTTACCACTTCCTTGGGGATTCACGATGGCTGAAGATGCTCAGCAGAATCTCAAATGATCAGATTGCTTGTGGCTATACAACTTCTTTATACTTCTGGCTACATGTTTTTAGTCACATTACACTATTTCATATTTAGTTAACCTAATTCTGCATCCAGTCAGTGCCTGCTGTCTTGTTCCCATTAGGTTGCAAAACAACAACCCTGCCTGGCAACTCAGTGTTGCAAAATGCCAACCTGGCCCAGCAACGCAGTACTTGCTTAACTTAGTCACATGTGTTTGCACCATCATGGCATTACTCTGGCCAAGCAGGGCTTGCCAGGCCTACACAGGTGGTGTCAGGAGTGCCAAATGTGGAGGAAATATAACAGCTTCCCAAGGAGCTCTACTCTGGAGCCATCCCCCTGCCCCCAGCATTTTCCCCACCAGTAACTTAGCACTGCTGCTGCTCCACTCACAACTCGCCTCTTGCATCCTTTTGCAGTCGTGGCTCTTTATGGGTATGCCCTGGCAATGCTGTTCTCATGAGCTAGAGTTGACAAAAGCTTGTGCTCTACATACATCTTGTTTAGATAGCCTGTAAGTAGGGACCTACTTAATTCATGGTGGCTGCCTCCAGATTTTGTGCTCCCAGCATGGCATCAGGTGCCATTTTCATAGTGGAGCATAGTGGGTCCTCCCATGCCTCTGATTGGCATAGTCATCTGTTAATCTCTGGGGAGGGATGGGACTTCTGGGGTCTTTCAGCCTATCAGAGGTGTTGGGGGGCCCAATGCACTCCGTTGTAAAAATCTCACTCTTCCTTCCCCCCTCCTCCCCATGCTTCAAGACACCAGGTCTTCCTGCCATTTTCCATTTGCAGCTCCTTTTCCCCTCCCCACCTGCCTTCCTGGCCATTTTCTCACTTTTTTACAAGGACTGGATTTTTTTCACGGGGGACCTACCAAATTTGTGGTTTCCACAAAAATTGCAAAATTGCGAATTTGGTAGGTCCCTACCTATAAGGTGCATAGCTATCCTGACTCATGCTGTTTTTAGCCAGGCAATGTCCTTTAAGAAGCAGGGACATGTTCATTACCTATCTAAAAGTCAGCAATATCCTCCCTCACTCCAACACACACAACAGATCTGGGGCCACCTGGCCACTTCATTGAATAGCAGGGAAAGCAGGATTGTAGTGCTCCATAAGCACAGGCCCTGACTCTTTGAGCTAGAAAGGCAGATTTAATTAGCAATGCAGTGCCTAAGACATACAGTTAGATGGTTGTGATTCCCTCCGGTAGAGGACACAAACACACTACACTGTTCACCACAGAAATATTCCTCTGACATTGCAGTATGATCTCCAGTAACCTTGTATGTTATGTGACTTAAGACGCACAGACAAATAGCTACTTAGAGGAGTAACATATTCTAAGGCTGTAATTCTCAACCAGGGTGCTCCAGCACCAGGGGGTGCCATGGGATCTTTATTTAAGGATGCCAAAGAGTGCCACACGGTATTAACAAGGTTCAGTATGCAAACACCTACAAAATTCACAAGATAAATCCAGAGATTTCAAATGGGAATCCATAGGGTCAAAAACATTCTGACCTGGTTTGGTCTTTCTGAGTTCTTTGCAACAGAAAAATCGTTCCATATTCAAAAAAAAAAAAAAAGTGAAAACTAAGAGGTGGCATTTTCCGAGTGGTGCCTGGAGTTTAACAAGGAGTGCCACCAGTTTAAAAAGGTTGAGAACCACTAGTCTAGTGGATATAACACTGGAATGGGTAACAGGAAACCTCTGTTGAATTAAAGCTACTTCCCATCTGAATCAACGTTCATCTGCCCACTCTTGACTATTTAAACTGTAAACTTGGAAGTAGGGGCTGTATCTTTCTGTGTTTGCACACTGCCTAGCAAAACAGGGCCCTGAATTTCACTGCTCAAGCTACGGTAGTACAATAATTCTTAATACCGTTGTATGTCTCTCATTTCTCTCATCCTTCATTGCAGGATGACAACCGATATCACGAGGATATTTTTGGAGTCACCCTGCGTACATATGAAGTGACTAACCGCCTTAGATCTGAGTCGATTGCGTTCATTGAGGAGAGCAAAAAGGACACGGATGAGTGAGTTGACACGTTTATTTTAACCTGTGCTATTGTTTCTGAAGTGTGTGGGTTGTAGAACCCGAAAGGATGCTTTTACTTATTCCCACGTATGAAACCTCTAGTAGCAGAGACAGAAATAGGAGTTTGATTTTTTTTTTTTTCCACGTTAGCAGCAGACAAAGCCGCGGTGCTGTTTCTCTAAGACAATGATGGCTTCAGTAGGCTGGATCCACACCTGATAGAGCTACTTTGTCTTCCCATGGTATGAATTTAGCCCACGCAGCCCAGGATACCATATTACAACAGAAAAAATTTAAGGCACGAGTGACTAATTACCATTAGAGTTGAAAATTATCTGACAGAACAGAGTTTTGTTGGGAAATGTCAGTTTGACATAATCAAAATGTTCGGCAGGAACAGTCTGTCAGTTGCATCAAAACGCTGAAAGACACCAGGCAGGCAGCCTGGTTTCCTGTCCGCCCCCCCTTGCCATCTGACTGGTGAGTGTCTCTCCGGTTCTCTGGAACCTGTTGCTCCAGGTGAGCTGCATCAGTTCCCTCAGATACCTGCGTCTCACCTGGTAGCAACATGGTAGCTGCATGGCCAGTGCCCTTTCTAGCAGGCACACAGGGAACCTGGGCCACCCGTGCCCTGTTTAATCAGAGAGCTGTGTGTTCAGCTCCCCCTGAAAGGCAGGAAGCTAAAGGACCAAGCCACCTGAAATATTCTCCCCACTGCCCAGCAGGGGCCTGCCCTGCCCCTCTCCTATTCAATGAAAACTGTTCAAAATCTTGACATTTTTCCCAGCCTAGAAGATCCTCCTCCTACTTGGCTCCAGTCATGAGCTCCAAGTTCAAATGGAAACAAAAGAAAGCTGATGCTTTGCTGCTTGCTTAACTGCTCAGACCCCTGCTCTACCTGGATTGTCCTACTTGAGCCAAGAGATCAATTAGGACAATCTCCTTCAAGGAAATGCTAATGAGTAACATCTCCATGCCCCCGTGGAAACTGCTCAGTCTGTGTCCCAGGCCTTGCCACTTGTAAGTTCTTGTCCCTCATTTCCTGTCTGAAGTGTTTTGCTGACTGTCCTGAGTTGGGACTCTTGGATTTGTGAACTGACTCTGCCCCAGATTCTCTGTGCGACCCTGAGCAAGTCGCCTAACCAACGCGTGGTTTATGATTCGTCTAGATTAAGGCAGTTAGCTTCAGTGCAGCGCCTCTATGTTTTGCAATGTACAAAGAAGGCTGCAGTTCTCCGTGTCTATAATAGGGATAGCAGTAGTTACCATCCTACCTGGATGGGTGTGCATGGTGTATGCCACCTGTAAAGGAATGTCGGCTGTAAAGCACTTGGCATTCTTTTATGAAAAGGGCCTGTGGGAGCAGAGATGGTGAGGATTATTGCAATTAACTTGCTCTGATGTGTTACAATGCAGGTGGCTTAGACAGGAGACCACCATGGCTTCAACCTGGCTCCACAGACTTCACCCAGTAATGTCAACCATATACTTTATCCCATGTCGCACTGCCATCTGGTGGCCAGGGCTGCTCATTGCACTTAAGTTGACATACTGATAAGGGTCATGGAGTAGCTATCAACTCTTCTCTCTAAGCTTGTCCTTTCTTCACCTTCTCTTGCAGGGTTTTCTGCTCATAACTGGATCCCATTGCCCCAGATGGAATGCCAAACCAGTCACAGCAGCAGCCACCCCCCTCCAGCTGGAGGGTGCTGGGTTTTGTATTTTCACGGACACGGCAGCTCCTTTTCTGCGGGGACTGCCCATGGAACGTGCTCTGTCTCTTGTCCTGTTGTTGTGTCCTGATGATGATGATGATGATTTTCCTTCTCTCTCTCTCTCTCTCTCTCTCTCTCTTGTCCTGTGGCAGTTTCTTTTAACTTGTTTCCCTCCCTGGAGTTCCCTGCTGAAGTGCGATGGCTTTATAATCTGCAGTGGCTCTTACGAAACTATGTTTCTTCTTCTTCTCACGTTCTGACAAGGGCGTTTTGCTGCTGCATGAAATCACCACCTTAGCAATCATCTGCATTTTTTGGTGTTTCAGGAAGAGGGAAGGGCCAGGTGCCTGGGCCTGGGAGCTGGCAGTTCCTGATTAAAGCAGCGAGGAGTGGAAAGAAGCTGTTTCCCCAAGACCCCTTCCCCCTGCACAACTAGGACCTTGGCTGAATCACTGCATCGTCCTTGCTTTCCATTAGACCATATGGGCCTGGCCCTCTGCCGAAGCTGAGCACAGAGGACGCACAGTGCCTGCCATGTCAATGGACCTTGCTGTCCTCTCCAGAAAGCCTGGAAACACCAAAGCTTTGTTCTGTTTAAGGGGAGGGGTTTGTCTGCATTTAATAGATACTGGATTCACCTAAGACAGCTCTGTGATATATTCTAATTACACCATCGCTTCCCCTCCCCTGGCTTCACTCCCCCTGCAGCTCTTCCCTTAGTCCTCCTCTGCCCCCAGTGAAGGGGCACCTTTACCTCCCTGCTGGATGAAGGTCATGGGGCATGTGCAAGCATAGCACACCGCGGCCTATGGAGTTGTCTGCAGCTGGGCAGCGTGTGGGTGGCATCAGATTGGTTCCAGGGAAGCCCAGGCCCTGCCCATTCTGCCAAGCTGCCTTCAGAACCTGCCAGGCAGGCGATAGGGGCTGAAGGTTAAATGTGGCCAGAAAGCAGGAGAGGGCGACAGGCTTGCTGAGATCCCTGCAGGAAGGTTCTGAGCCAGAGATTGTCTGTCATGGAGCTGCGCTGAGCTGAGGTTCACACTGGACCCAGGAGCCCTCTTCAGCAGGGTGAGGGGAAATGTAAAGCAAGAAGACTGAAAGGGGAAGCCCCATATGCCCAGCTCTAGGGGCATCTGCCAACAGTAAAGGCTGATGGGAAGCCAGCAGGTAGCTTGTTCCCCCAGGCTATATTGCATGAAGTCTGCTAAAGCTATATAATGCATTCCTGACCCCAGCTGCCAGGTTCTTTGGGAGCCCCATTTAAATGAGCAAGAGAGGCTCTTGGGGCTTTAAAGGAGGGTAGTTCCATCTCATTGCGATTGTGTGACCTGTCCTTTCCCAGCACCCTCCCTTCACCCTTCCAGGAGCTCTGAAGTGCTCATGGCACAAGGCTGACTGCAGTGGATGCCTCCACTTGGCCAAAAAAAATATTCTGCCTGCTATAATCCCATTCCTGAACTGCATGGGGCATTTCTGCCAGGAGGTGTAGCAGGGGATGTAGACCAAGCTCAGGGACTGATGCAATGATCCTGAGCTCTGAAATGCTGCCAACTCAGGCTCAGTGCAAAAAGCCAGCCGCCCAAGTAACCTATGAAGGGATGCAAAGGGGTCATCAGCACCTTTTTGGCCAGGCATCTCAAGCTGGTGCACAGTCCATCTCTCTCCTTCCTCTTTTGGGAATGAAAACATCTCCTTGCCCCTCTCTTTCTCCAGCTGCCAGATTCCTTGGGCATGGGGAATGCTCGGTATCCGCTCCACCATGCTCTACCCTACTACCCTGCAGGCAGCAGAGGGAGGCTGCTGTTTTCAGGTAGCTTTTGCTGTCCTTCCTTCCTGGGAACTCACAGTACTGGACCACTTCCCAGTGTCAGCATGTGTTATCACCAGAACAGGGAGCTGCAAGGAAGAGGGCTTTAACAGCTGTAACAAATTGTTTTGGCTTCAGAGACCAGGATCTGCCATACACTCCCCCAAGCTGCACTTCTAACAAAGCAAGCCCCTCCAGATTTGAAACTTCCCCTGCCCAAATGCAGCTTGGTTGTTCTAGTTCAGGTCACATTCATTGACCTCTGATTATGCGGTGCCCACAGAAGTTTGATTTTGCTGCCAGTCTTTCCTTTATGCCTAGTCACTAGAGTGCACTGTCCTCTCCCATAACAGGATCTCTTCCTCAACTCTAGATGTGTCCTAGAAACAAAGCTTGGGCCAAAAGCCTCCAAGGCTTTGGGAAAGTTTGCATCCAGGTCTGAATTTGATTGTTCAGATCCATCTCTTAGCCGGACGTCTGTTGCTGGTGTGTGTGGCTGCTGCCACCTTGTGGTAATTCACAAGCTCTCTGAACCGGACAGCTGGCCAAATTTGTTGCCTCGTGGGATGAACAAAGCCCCCCATCCACACTATAGCTGGTGTTTTGTAACCATTTACAACTGATTTACAACAGGGACTGCATCTGTCTCTGTACACTGTCTTGGTGGGTTTCAGGAGTATCTGGCATCTATCCCACAGTGCCTCTTCAGAGGCTACATGCCATAGGGGATTTGCACACAGAGCAGTTGGTGGAGCAGTAAATTCTGGGATTTTTCAGTGCCCAGAGAGCAGGGAAGGAAGGGGAAAAGCCAGACTTCTTAAGATTTGAGGGGAGCTGGGGATCCTGTCTGCTGTAGCATCAACACTATGCCAAACCAGTTCCATCAACTTCAGCCTCTGGCAGGGTTGAGGCAGTTAGTCATAGTGGTTGCTCCCCATATGGTGTGCCCACATAGAGCATGGCTTAGAGCCAGCAGAAGTGCTACTAACTAGTTATAAACTCAGTTCAAAGTTGTTGCCCAAGTAGGGCTGTAGGCTCCAGCTTACAGCCAGTACAGTGAGCTCTCTCATCAGGAGCGTAGGGACCCCACTCCACTATTCCCTCAACATGAGGCACATGTCCTGGCCCCAGAGAAGTAGAGGGAAGGAGAAGGAATGAGGAGTGTGAAAGAGGAGGTGCTGCATTTGGTAGAGACAGATTTGCAAATCTGGGAGATGAATGCCCAAGTCCCTCATGCCCCTTTGAAGATGAGTCTTAGAGAGGAAAATGCTGTGTAAAGTCCAGCCAGTTCTTATTGGATGCATCTCAGAGACAGGACAGGCACTGAGGGAAGAAACCAGCGGTGACCGGAAACTCCAGCCATTGCAGAAGGAAGTATATTAAAGAGCTCCTTCCCTCCATCCATCTTGTTTTGCCAGGATCATTAGCTCATAATGTCCTGAGCTGACTTGTTTCTTAACTGAGCCAGTTCCTTTTGCTTTTGTAGACAACTAGCTTTCCTCACTTGCCAGAGGTTTTGTACCCCCCTGAGGTTCCACTTCCTCCTATGGCAAAGGGGACATTAACCTGCAGAACGCCTGTATCATTCCATAGTTACAGACCTTTCAGGAACAAGCCACACTGTTCAGCTTAGTGTAAAGCATGCACATGTGCTATGTGCATAGCACCTAAGCGGTGGACATAGCCATGGGGTCAGGTAAAGAGCCGAACTCTATGTATATTTTTGTTTTTGACTGTTCTGTCTGCATTCAGGCCATTACTTCCCCTCCTCCATGGCTACTTCCCATATTCCAAACTTCTGAGCAGCTTCAAATATCTCCTGGGCTTGATAGATCCCTGGCGTGATCTAGTATGGTAACTCCATGTACAACATCTGTAATGGGTGGTTTTGGTTTCAGAGACCAGGACCTGCCATTGCTATGAATGTCAAAGCCTGCTGCGACCACCACCCAAACACATCCCCAGCCCATTTCTGATTCCAAAGACTTAAATAGCAAGGGAATCCTTACTAGAGCTTATCAAGATTTATTTTTCCATTTTTTTTAATTTCAAACTCAATGCATGATGAGGAAAAACCCTGGGGAATATTACCCAGTGTTTTCCAGCAGGCTCTATTCATTATCTTAAACTAATGAGGCATCAATTCACCAGAACAAGCATCTGAGTATTCAGCCTCAGTTCAATGATCACAAAAGTTTGCCCCTCCCCCTCCCCCCACCCCAATACAAGTTGTCTGGGAGTTTATTAAGGGGAGAGGCAGTATATATGCTATTCTTTATATGGCTATGCAGCATCCCAAATAGGGAGGGCAAACAACAAAAGCAGATCTCTGTCCCAAAGATTTATGGTTGCAGCTGAGAGCATGCAGAGGCAGAAGTTGAGGGAAGGATGCAGCAGAAACATTCTCTACTCATATCCTTTCTTTTATTTTACTTCTAAAATATATTCAATATTAATAACACCCGTTCTCCATTATTCTACAACCTTATTATTGCACATGAAACCCAAAGCCTATGCCCAACAGTCCTTCCTGCATTTCCCTGAAGAGAATCCTGGCCTTTCCTTCCAACTCCAACCTGCCCAGGCCAAAAGGGGCAACAAGTACTTCAGCTAAGGTTGATTTGTGTGACAACTTTGGAGCGTGAAGTGATAGGAGGATGCTACTCTCTGGAGTCTTAACTGTAGTTCCCTTCAGCTGTTCCCTGCTCATGGAGAGTCAGGGGCATGAAAGGAAATGATAACTGTTGGTCTTAAAGCAGCTGCAGACCATGGAGGCCAAGTTACATATTGATGAAGCAGTGGGGATGGTCTTGCTGAGGCTTCAAAAACTAAGCCCAATGCATCAAGCCAGGTCCTAAACTGTTGTCATCCAGGTAGCAGCACCAATCAAGTCATTACAATTGCTCCGATTTCCAACAGTGGAGCATCTAGGATAATATTATATTGCACTTACTTTCAAGCTTTATAGATGAGGATGTTACTAGAGCGACATGGGTTTGGATTGCTGTTTCACTTTTGTAATTGCTTCTATTGTTCCATAGGAGAGCACAGGCCTTTACAGAATAGATGGAGATGGACAAGTGGAATTTTTCTGCAGTGTTCACTGTTGCCTTAACTGTATGTCCACTGGCAGTTTCACCAATGATACATGATGGAGCACAGTTAGGCGGACACATGTGCTTTCATGCACAGTAGCCTATTTTAGTGTGCATTAAAGCATCATGTTAAAAAATGTGCTAATACACTAATGCACAGTAAAAATGGGCTGCTGTGCATTAAGCATCACTAAAGCATGCACTTTCACTACTGCACATTAGGGCAGCCTAGTGTTCATTTATTTAGTACCTCACATTTAAGGATGCCTGTACACGACAGTGGAGGCTGCTCTGACGTGCTGGAATCACAGTGTGTCAGAGCAGACTTGAATAATCTTGTACAGATTAATTGAGTCTGCTGAAGTGTGGTAATTACCACACCCCAGCAGCCTCCCACATCTCATGTATCAGCGTCCCCACACTTCAAAATGGGGCAGGGGCGCTTGAACTAAAGCTTGTCAAACAAGTTTTAATTAAAGCAGCTCTCAGAGCTGCTCGAGTTAAAGTGCCACCCTCCCCCCACTCATGGAGCACATGTACAAATGCCCAGAGGCACTACATTTAATGCACAGTAGCAAAAGAGCGTTAATGAACCTGTAGACATGCCCATTGAGTACTTTTGATAATCCTATCTGGGGGCTGCAATCCAGAACTATTTAGATGCTTATAATTCAGATGATAAAGTCTGACTCCCATGAGGTACTAAGTCTTCTCAGTGCCCATTGGCTTCAGTACAAGTTAGAGGCAGTTTCAGGCCCTGGCAACAGCAGTTACATGATAACAGTAGCTTTGCATGCACTAATCTGCACTTGCCTGCAATGCATTATTCTACAGTAATCCTGTTTGAAATCTGTCTTTGATTGTTGGATCTAAGCTCTGGCTTCTCCCATACAATTATATGTATTTCCTAAACTTCAGGGGAAATTGCTGCTTTAAAGCATTCCAGTTTCTGGGCTCAAACAGGCCTTACTGGAGCTAGTGTTCTCTTGTTTTTATGTGAAGACAGCACATGAAATATTTAAACATCAAAGCATGGGTCTTTCTTTTCCCTGCTGTACCAGCATAGAAAACAGGAGGGAGACTACCTGTACTCTAAAATACCCCACCCTATTAGTGTTGCCCATAAATGCCAATGATGAGATGTTGAAAGGGCCAAATTATGAAGCTGAAAAACCTCATTTCAGACACTGATTGTAATCTGTATCCAAGAACCAGCCACTCTTCTGCTGAGATCATTTCACAGCAAAGTATTGATCATGGGAGGGTGAAGATACTTTTTTTTTCATTTGTGTAACTGGGTCTTGGAGTGTTGTAGCACAGGGGCTCAAAGGCAATGAAACCAGATGCGTTGGGGTCCTAGCCCTGCCTACTACTCATGTAAGGAATTCCATAGGGCAGGGATTTGTACCTGCTGTCTGCATTGCCATGCCAGGGAGGTTTGGGACAGTGGTCAAGGGAACAGCGACTGTACAGGTACAAGCCTCCAGAAGACAGTGGGTGCAGGGAGTGGCCCATTCTAGGAAGTGGGGAGGCACTCTGGACTCTATGAAGTCTGGCTTTCCAGATTAGAGGTGCCTGTTTCTAGGGCTTAGTTCAGAACCATCCTTTCTCGGGAATGAAGTGGCTGGAAATATTTATGGTTGGAATTTCAATCCTAAAAAACTTTGCCAAAAACCCAAAACATTTTGATCTGGGGGCATTGGTTTGTTGAAAAAAATAGCCAAAATCTCAGTTTCCCATAAAAATGCAGAACAACACCCTAACTGCACAAGCCAGCCCCTGACTGTGAACCCACTGGCTTCTTTGAAATCATGCTTCTAAAATGTTTTCTTGAACTTTAGCTCTCTGAGTTTGTGTAAATGGAAACTAGCAAACAGTTTGTGTTTTCAGCGGTTCCAGATCTATGTATGTATGTCAGATGCCTCAATCAGTGTCAATGGGAACCAACCACACCCCTCAAAGGCAGTGTTGCCTCAGTTAAATAACAAGTTCATACAATAGTCAGTCAATTTGTTTCACAAATAGCTACAGCTGGTTGGAAAAGACAGCTGAAAAGGATTGTCAACTTTTTGTTTCAATGTTTTACTTAAATTTTGATTTTTAAAAAATTTTAAACAGCTCTTTGCTGGGTACAAAACATGAAAAAAAAAAAGTTCAAATGTCAACATTTTCACTTAAAGTTCAACTTTTTTTAATAGCCATCGGAAAGGGAATTTCAGAAAATGTCGACTGGATCCAGGGGAAGTAAAACTACCTTTCAAAAATGTATCTAAATTCCTCTCCAAATTGGCTCTTCATATTTATGTGTGCTTTAAAAAGACATAGTAACAAAATGCACTTATGGTAGTTGCCAGAGTGCCTCTGAAGTAGAAACGCACCTTTCAGAATCTCCCTTAAATGAAGCATACTGATGTATGGCGTTGAAGCGACGGTTTGGAAGCCAAGAAAATTCAGTGCAAAAGTCCGTTTTGGTGGCAGGAGCTCCCAAGTTTTACTGGGAGAATTTGCCCTCAGAAATTATGACTTGATGGCCTGAAAGAAACTCAGCCTTGATGAAGGTTGAGTTCACTTGGCCCTGGCAAAGTGAAGGTATTGGGCTGTGCATGATTCCCCAGGTAGTAGTGGGAGCCTAGCAAGATGGTTTCCAAACAGGACTCGTTACTGTTTGTCTAGCATCTAGTTAGAAATACAGGCAGAAAGTCTGCCGGCTGCCTAGAGGATCAGGGTACAGAATTTCAATGGATTTTAATAGGAAATGAGGTATTATATTCCTTTTGGGAAGATTCGAAAAGTTTAGCCAATAAAGTTTGTTTAGTGATCTTTTTCATGAGGAGCAAAAG